AGTGAGGTGCAAACATTTGTGGAGAAACATCATCCTAACCCTCTCTCTTCCTCCCATCTTCCATACACCAACAAGTCTTCAATAAAGGTGAGTGTGATGTTATTATTGTTTTATGCTTGATTTCTCATTCTTTTCTGTATGTAAATCTATATTTAATCTATGAAAAAAATAATATTTGTTAATACTTTTGGGTATTTGGAATGGATTAATTTGATTTACATTATTTCTTATGGGGAAAATGGTTTCAAAATTCATGAATTTCGACTTTCGGCAGACTTTCTGGAACTGATTAATCACGAAATTTGGGGGTCCACTGTAGTTAATAAAAAAAAATACAGTAGTACAATTTGGCACAATTTGAAACAATTAAGTCGAAAGAATTTTAAGTTTGAAATAATGATTAAATAATTAAGCAATCATCAAGCATAATTTATAATATGAAGTATTACAATTTAGCACAATTTAAAAAATGAAATTGAAACTCTTAGAAGTTTGAAGTAATGAGTAAATGGTTGAGCAGTCATTAAGCACAATATACGATAATGAAACTGAAACAATTTTAAGTTTGAAGTAAATGATCAAATAATTGAGCAGTCTTAAATTACTTCGGAGTTTTTTTTGAGTAACTTTTGAGTAACTGGTAGGTATTAAGTAAAGTGTTTGTCTGGTTAATTTTGGGTGATGAGGTGATTTATAAGTAGGGCCTTAAATTAATTTGCAGGCAAGGGCCCTTTAGTGTGTTCTGGCAAGAATTCCAGATCTTTGGGACCTTTATGTGCATAGCATTTTTGCATAGGGAGAGATGGACATAAGGGATGTCGGAGTGATTTGTGCCTTGTATTATGCCTGTGTGTTCTGTTGTAGTTATCAAGGAGTTTAATAGGAGGGTTAATATTTGAGTGTAATGTTCTATGTGTGTAGTAGGCACAATGATAAATGTTTTGTATATTAAACAAGTTAAGGCTCTTGAAAAGCAGTGGTGTGTGCTGTCTAGTGCAGGAGTTGGTGAGGCTAGGAAAGAGTATAATCTCTTCTGGATTAATTTTTCAGAGATTTTGGATAACAATGGCAAGTTAAATGAAAGAGTTAAAAATGTTAAGATGCTAAAATAATGAAAGAACTCATTTTTAAAATCATGTGATTTTCAGTATTTGCATACGAAGCTTCTGGAACTTTCATGCTCCCTAGTCAATATAATAGAGGGACCAAACTGTAGATCTACACCTTGTCCATAGGGTCCAAGAATTTTCAAAATTATTTTTTTATTTTTTCTTATGAAATGGTAGAGAATCTTTTTCTGAAGGTAATAAAACAAAAAGTACAAAATTTGATGGAAAACTGATGAAACTGCACTTGCAAATTTTACTGCGTCAGCAATATTTACACATTGGTCATTTTGCCCACTTTGACTCTTATTTTAGGCCAATTATATTATTCCAGTCAACCAAATTCTTAGCTATTTTGCTAATATTACTTCTATTTTATTGATTGAGCACAAGAAACTGCCTAATCAACTATTTCAACTACCCAATAAAGTGATCAGAAATTGGTAATTTGGCCAATTTCACACAAAGTTCAAAATATTCCAATTTCAAAATAGGGTCCAGAATAAACAATGCAGGAATTCCTGTCACTAAATTAACATTTCCTCTGTTTATTAGTTATGTTTCCGGGCTTTACACATGAATTCCATTTTGATTTTGATATTTTATTCACAAAGAAATTTTATTCAAACCAAAAAAATAGAAGATTTAATGTTATTCAATATTTTAATAATTGTATAAATAATCTCAGTGCATTCATGAGCGTATATTAACCCTTTGACTTTCGGTCATATATATACGTCATACGAGCCACCGTGTTTGACTTATATACACTACTCATAAATTCTTGCGGCTTCAAATCAAGCAGGAGAAAGCTGGTAGGCCCACATGTGAGAGAATGCATCTGTGTGGTCAGTGTGCACCATATAAAAAAAAAAACCATGGAGCACACAGTGCATAATGAGAAAAAAAAAAGTCGGAGTTTTTTCTTAATTAAAATGCCGACTTTGTGGTCAATTTTCGTTTAGTATTTATGGTTGTATTCTCGTTTTCTTGGTCTCATTTGATAGAATGGAAAAAGAGGTGATTTTGATTGGTTTTGCTATGAAAAGAACCTGGAAATGGAGCTCAAAGTAGGGGAAATGTTTGATTTTTGCCGATGTTCAAAAGTAAACAAATGATGCCATCGTGCAATAAATGTCCAACTAGCGATTCTAATATGCCGTCATGAATGGGTTGACATTATTTGTACAGTAGTCTGCATAACAGTAAATCATCTATTTTTGTTTGAATAAAAATTCAAAATAGAAAGCAAGAGTAATATCAGAGGGGCCTGGAGACATGACTGATGAACAAAGAAAATGTTATTTTAAACCAGGAATGTCTGCATTGTTCATTCTGGACCCTATTTTGAAATTGTCATATTTTTTAATTTTCATGAAATTGGCCAAATTGCAAATTTCTGACCACGTTATTGGGTAGTTGAAATTGGTAAATGGGCAATGTCTTGTACTCAATCGATAGAAAAAATGGAGTTCTAAAGAAATAGCTATGAGTTTGGTCGACTGAAACAATAGGGCTCAAAGTGGGCGAAATCACAGATTTGTAAATATCACCGTGGTCGCTGACTTCGCAAGAGCATCATTCCATCAGTTTTCCATCAAATTTCGTTCTTTTGGTGTCATTACAATCGGGAAAAGATTCTCTATCATTTCATAAGAAACAATAATTTTTTTTTTTTTGAAATTTTGCGACACCAGGTGACACCTCAGGATTGGGGGTTGCGACAGTTGACGTGTGTTGGATTTGTGACGTCATTTGTTTATTCTTGAACATCGGCAAAAGTCGAATAGTTCCATTACTTAGAGCTCAATTTCAAGCTGTTTTCAGTGATAAAAGCAATGAGAATAAATAAATAAAATAAATAAAGTTTATTTCTTTGTAAAGGTTACAATGTGTAATTACAATTTTGATTTGCTAAGTACAAAGATAGCCACTATCATGCCGAGATATTTTGGGCAAACTAATCCTAATACATAGTAATTAATTAAAACTAGTTCAGATAATAGTACAGTGGACCCCCGCATAACACTATTAATCGTTCCTGAGAGCTCAATGTTATGCGAAATTATCCTTATGCGAATTAATTTTCCCTATAAGAAATAATGGAAATCAAATTAAGTCGTGCAAGACAACCAAAAGTATGAAAACAAAAAAATTTTTTACCACACTAGGTACCCAGTGAGTTTTTCATAGGTTTCGTTTTGCCGTCTTAGAATACTATTTTCCTGTAGAATTTTATCAATGGAGTCGAGTCATTGTTGAGGACTGAATTCCTGGGCTATACCTTTGGGTGATGACAAGTAGTAATCTATGTTGCCGTTTGGGGTGAAGAGATCTCGGTTGTTATCCGTAGTTGTAGACAAGTCAGCTTGGGTGCGAGTCATGGATGAGGATGAATGTTGAGAGAATCCAGAGAAGGTTTTGAAGTCGTCCACCATTGTTGTTGTGTTGGTCTGGGCGGGGGTGAGGGGGGTGGAAGATGCGCTGGCGTCCTTCAGGGTAGACATTATGGGTAACAGTTTTCTAGGAGGTTTTGTGACTGTCTTGGTGTTGCTTTTTCTATTCTTGTATCCCATGAGAACACTAGTGATGTTGAAATGGAGTTACTGTAGTGGTAACTGTTGCTTGGCTGGTATTACTTTTGGTAGCAAGCTGGTGTTTGGTATGCCAGGCAGTCCTCTATTAGTCGTGTTAAGCCAGCTTTTTACATCTTTAGCAGCTTTATTTTGGTCTTTACTGGTTCCATGTGGGTCAGTGCAGCAGTACAAGCAGTTAGCCCATAATAAGAGTTGTTGTAGGGGCAGGGAACTGTAAAGATGTAGGAGTAGCCGTTGTTGTTGTCACCTCACCACGCACTGTGCCAGCACTTCTCATCTCTATTTCTGTAATATATCTTCCATTCTACCAAATGAAACCAAGAAACTGCGAATACATCCATAAAAATGATACCAAAATACACCGCAAACTCGGTGTTTTAATCCAAGCACACGGTTGCAGTTTTTTCTCATTATGCACCATGTGCTGCAGGATTTGTTTTATATGGTGCACACTTGCCACACTGATCCATTCTCTCATATCTCTGCCCAAATTTACCGCTCACAGCTTATTTGAGTGAGCTGAGCTCATGCCGTAGAACTACAGCTTGGACCCTGTGGACAAGGTGTAGATCTAGGGCTTGGACCCTCAAGGGGTTAATTTAATAAAAAAAAGTATTTGTATCTGGGGGGGGGGGGTGATGGGCTTAAACCTTATTGGCTACCCTCCCCTTGTGGTAGTGCCTTTGATATATATGGACCATTTACTGACACTGTGTTCTCAGATTTTGCATTTATGGGATGGGGCCTTTAGGAATGTAAATTTCATGAATTTAGAGGCTACACTGCATCTCACTTGATATCCTTTGTACTGTCAGTTTCAGACATCTAACTCATTTAACTTTTTTGACTTTTATATTGTTGGATAAAATAGCAGTGATGTATCAGATTGCTTACATCATGAAACTCCTATGAACCCTTGCTTCTCATTTTTTGTCTTGACTTCTGGGACTGATTTTATCTAAGATTGGAAGGTCTTTCTGGATAATTTAGCCTCTTAGAAATTAAGTTAATCTTTTTTTTGTGTGTTTTGAGAATATTATGAAGGCTGGTAACCACATTACAGTGTGGATACAGCTGCCTTATTTATATATAATATGTGCTTTTGTATCTTTTGTATTTAAATTCAATGTCTACTTATATGGAGCAGTATCTGCTCAGTGCTGAATTAATGTTTTAACAAATTTGTTAAATATTTAACAGCTCTGTTTAAGGAAACTAAATTGATTGATAATGACTTATATTATTTTATTTCTGCATTACCTCTGACATCTTTTTATCTTTTTTTTTTTTATTGCAGGGCTCTTTTTGGTTATGAAGGACAAAGCAATGTTTTGAAGGTGGTGGGAACAGGAGGTAAGATTACTCTTTATTACACTCTCATTCACTCTCACACAGGCAGGCAATTCCTGTATAAGGTACAGTGGGGAAGAGAACTAGAGGGAAACACAGTAAATGAAATGATGGAACACATGGCCACAAAGTGTATGCAGACAGAGTAGTAGTTTGTACCCAGAGTGAGCCCATTATCTTCTCCCACCCAGACTCGGCTATACTTAGTAACACTGTAAACAGTGAGCTACATAAAATATCAAGCTGGATGATGACCAATAAACTTACTTCCAATATAGACAAAACCTACTTCATGCTTTTTGGAAACAGAGCATTAAATATTCAGCTGAACATATTGAGAAATGGCTCGGCCACTACAAGAAGGGAAATTTCTAGGTCTCCACCTCACTGTTTTGAGAACTGTAGGGAAGGTAGAGGATTCAGTGGATTTGTTAAAGAGTGTTGCAATGATTGGTGACAGTGCTTGTGATGCTTTTTTGTATATAAAGGGTGGTAAGGTATTTAGATCTCCTGTCTTGTTCTTTAGTGTGTTGATAATAAGGGAGACTTCTGTAGGGTTAGTCGGAGCTAGGAACAGTGTGTTCAGGTAGGTGCCAGCGAGGTAGTCATTGGGTGGGGTACTTGAGCTTGGGATTCTACCCGCAAGGTTTTTTCCTATGGTGGAGAAGAAAACATTGAGTCTGTTTGCTGTTTCAGTTGGTGGGAGTAGGGGTTCATCTGGTTTTGTTAGTTTGATTGCTCTGTTTCCTGATATCTTTTTTGTTCCTAGAATTTCAATTAGGGTTTTCCAGGTCTTTTTTATATCACCTTTTAAGTTGGATAATCTGTTCTCATAATACAATTTTTTTGCCCTTCTTATCAGGCTGGTTAGGATTGATGAGTAACGTTTTGTTTGGTCTCTGGTTATGTGACCCATATTGTACTGTTTTTCATATAGGTGCTTTATATTTATGGATTTGAGGATGCTGGGTGTTAGCCAGGGACTTCTCAGTCTCTTAGCTGTGATCTGTTTAGTTTTTTAGGGCAGTGCTTGTTATAGAGGTATTGGGTCCTTTTTAGAAAATTATTAATACACTTGTCAGTATCTGTATAGATTTCTAGCTCAGTTTGCCAGTCGATGTTTGTCATTGCCGTTGTGAAGTTATAAATGGCTGCCTCATTATGAAGTCTGAAGGTTACTTGAGTAGTGTCTTGGGGTGATTTACCTAGATTGGTTATGAGAAAGGTAGGGTAGTGGTCTGTGATTATGCCTAATTTTAAAGGGGATAAGGTGTTGGTCCAGATGTGGTCTAATAGGGAAACACTAGTCTCTGTAATTCTTGTAGGTTTTGTTACTCTTGGTAGCAACAAACAGTTACTCATACTGTTTGTGAATTCAGTTACATGTGGGTCCTGGTCTTGCAGGAGATTTATGTTGAAGTCTCCTGAGAGTAGTAAGTGATCTTTATTCACCTGTGCATCAGTCATCATACTTCCTAGGTTTTCACTAAAATGGCAAACATTTGACTGTGGTGCTCTGTAGATGTTTATCACTGTGAGAGGTTTTTGTAGGTATTTGGATTTGAATTTAGCTATTATATATTCCCCATGTTCATCCCTTGTGCAAGTATTATTTATACATTCTAGTTTGTCTGAGTAGTATATAGCTTTGCCACCCCCTTGTTGATCTGGTCTACAGTTGTGTATGACTGTGTAACCAGGAATGGCATAGACATCTGTAGTATCTGGCTTTAGCCAGGTTTCAGTGAGAGTAATGATGGACATACTGGCATGCAAATCGTACGAAAACTGAAGCAATATTTCCCATAAGAAATAGTGTAAATTCAATTAATCCATTCTAGACACCCAAAAATATTAACAAAAAATACATTTTATAGAGAATAACTATAGTTTTACATTCAGAAAACAATGATTAATATAAATGACTAATGAAATGGATAAACGAACATTTAACCCCTTGACTGTTGCAACCCCAAATCCTGAGGTGTCTCCTGGTGTCGCAAAATTTCCAAAAAAAAAGATTTTTCTTATGAAATGATAGAGAATCTTTTCCCTGATTGTAATAACACCGAAAGAACGAAATTTGATGGAAAACTGATGAAATTACGCTCTCGCGAAGTTAGCGACCTAGGCAATATTTACGAATTGGCAATTTTGCCCACTTTGAGCCCTATTTTCAGCTAATTCCATTGTTCCAGTCGACTAAAGTCATAGCTATTTCTTTAGAGCTCCATTTTTTATATCGATTGAGTACAAGAAACTGCCCATTTACTGATTTCAACTACCCAATAACATGGTCAGAAATTTGCAATTTGGCCAGTTTCACAAAAATTAAAAAATATGGCAATTTCAAAATAGGGTCCAGAATGAACAATGCAGACATTCCTGGTTCTAAAATAACATTTTCTTTGTTCAACAAAAAGTAGAAGATTTACTGTTATGCAGACTACTGCAATATTGTAATAATTGTATAAATAATGTCAACCCATTCATGACTGAAGAAAGCGCATTCTCCCCTCTCTCTTCCTCCTCTTCTGAAGCAGTTTCCTCAGCTGCAGTCTGTTGCTGTTTCAGTTGAAGGTCTTGCAGCTCTTCAGTGATTAGCCCTTACCTGTGGTCATCCACCAACTCTTCCACATCTTGGCCACTCATATCCAACCCAGTGGACTTCCCCAAAGACACAATAGATTCCACAGTAGGCATGGGGTCATCAGGGTCAGCCTCAAACCCTTCAAAATCCTTCTCGAGGGCACATTGTGGCCACAATTTTCTCCAAGCAGAATTCATCATCCTAGAAGTAACTCTCTGCTAAGCCTTATAGATAAGGCTTGGCAGAGGATATCGAAGTAATTCCTCCAGAACTCTCTTAGGGTCAATTCAGTGTCCGAGGTCTCTTCATAGCACCTTTGAAACAGTGCTTTGGTGTACAGTTTTTTTGAAGTTTGAAATGACCTGCTGGTCCATGGGCTGCATGAGAGGAGTGGTATTAGGGGGCAAGAACTTCACTTTGATGAAACTAAACTCCTCCAACAATTGGTCTTCCAAGTCTGGAGGATGAGCAGGAGCATTGTCCATTACCACGAGGCACTTGAGTGGCAATTGATTTTCCAGGAGGTATTTCTTCACACTCGGGCCAAACATTTGCCTTGTGACCCATGCCTTATTGTTAGCCTTCCATATCACACACAATTTACTCTTGATGACATTGTTTTTCTTGAACACTCGGGGATTTTCAGAATGATACACCAGTAAAGGCTTCACTTTTAAATCCCCACTAGGGTTACCACAGAACAAAAGAGTTAGCCTATCCTTCATAGGCTTGTGTCCTGGCAGTGCCTTTTCCTCCTGCATGATGTAGGTCCTCTTTGGCATCTTCTTTCAAAAGAGGCCTGTTTTGTCACAATTGAAGACTTGTTGGGGGAGGAATCATTCAACCTCTACATACTCCTAGAATTCATCAACGAATTCTTCAGCCCCATGTTTGTCTGAACTTGCAGCCTCACCATGCCTTACCACACTGTGTATGCCAGTTCACTTCTTGAATTTGTCAAACCAGCCTCTGCTGGCCTTAAATTCACTAGCAGCAGCACTTGTTCCAGGCATTTTCTTTGCAAGATCTGCATACAACTGCCTTGCCTTTGGCAAATTATTGCCTCCAAAACACTATCTCATGCTAACTGTTTTTCGTTGAGCCACACCAACAACTTCTCAACATCTTCGATTGTTTGTGATCTCTGTTTCGTTAGCACATTTACCCCTTTCGCAACATCAGCTTCCTTGACTTCATTTTTCTTCACTAGGATGGAACTGATCGTTGATGTGGATTTCCCGTACATCCTGGCGAGATCAGCCATGTGTATACCACTTTCATATGAAACTTTGCTAAGAGTTCTCGAATTCTATCATGTTTCTCGCCTTCTTTATCGAAGGGCTGGCACTCGGAACTTTCTTTTGCCCCATGGTGGCTTTTTTAGCAGTTGCACTCAATAAACAAGCACAAAAAAGAGTGGATTTTTACGAATTGTTTCTGATGAATGCGTGGTGTGATGCTCACTCAACGAGAAACAAAGGCAGACTGAGTCATGAACGCATGGGATGCTTTGTGTGGGCACTTGAGTGGCCGAGTCATGCAGACACATTTGGTATGGACCACTTTCAGCTCTATGAAAACTGAGCAGATGTGCAAAAACTGGGACAAAATTTTGACGAAAAAGTAATCGAAAACAGAATCCTACGAAAACTGGGGCATACAAAAACCGAGGTTCCACTGTACATGTTATTTAATAAAATTATTAGAAATAGCTGGGTGTCAACATTTGTTGTATAGGTTAGTAATCTTCATGCAGGCATTTTTTCTGTTTTTGAGAAACCAGTACTTGTATATTCGCAAAAAATTGAGAAACCAGCATACATACTGTAATTGCAAATTTTTTGAGAAACCATCATAGTCATATTTGCAAAATTTTGGAGAAACCAGTTTACAGTATTTGCCAGGAAAATTGAGAAACCTGCATATTTTCGATGCTTTTGAGAAACATTATTTTTGAAAATGATTTTAGATTAAATTTCTTAGAAATTGGCATATTAGGTTTTTTTTTTTTTTTTTTTTTTTTTTTTTTTTTTTTTTTTTTTTTTTAGCCATTCATACGGTATGGGAGCATGAGGGGACAGGATTCTACGTAGTTTTCTGTACGTTTGATGTAGTGGCCAGGATGTTTGGATCAGATGTTCCCCTTAAGGTAAATAATTGTTGTAAACAAGCTATTAATTGAAGAGCTTTGTTAAAAGTTGTGGCATTTAAACTTAACAAATACTATTGTTGACATTTTCTCTGGCATTACAGAGGATGGGTTAGAGGAGCTTGCTGAAGACCTCAACAGCAGTAAGATCATGTATGCTGCTGTTAGGGTCATTGATCCCAACACCACAAGGCCAAAAATTATCCTCATAAACTGGGTATGTATTGCAATCAACCTTCCAGTGCTTTTAGCTATCACTGTCATGTTCTTGATTAGGCCTCTTGGCTGTTGGCCTGACTATTCAGATTCTTGGTGCTTGCAGTCATCTGTGCCACATAGGCACAACAGTTGACTCATCATGGATGAGCTTCAACAATAAAATTTCTTATAAATGCTGGTAGTAATTCAAATAAGATACCAACAGTAATCTACAAAAAAAAAAAAAAAATAGCTGGGAAGTATTGTCTCCAGTTATAACAGTACTTTTCAACCTATCACTTTAGGAAGAAACCTTTACAGGTGGTCTTAAGAAAGTCAGGCTAACACCCATCCCCAGAGATGGTGATTCAGCTGATGTTAATAGCTATAAGCCAGTCTCAATCCTTTCAGTACTACCAAAAATATTTGAGAAACTGATCCACAAGCAAATGTACAGTTACCTAAGCACAATATACTTATTCTTTGTCAGTTTGGGTTTAAACCATAGAAACGTACTAATGATGTAACAACAATACTCAACACATTTGCTGAGCACATAACAGAAATGAGTATCCTTTTGGACTTCCCAATGATCTTCAAAAGGCCTTTGATATCATCAGCCATGGCACATGCCTACTGAGGATTAGTCACAGCGGTATGGACTTGGATGGCATAGTTAAATATATTATCTGATTCAGCCTCTGTAACAGATAGCATGCAGCTATAAATGATTCCTCATCTAGTACTCTACCCATAAACCTAGGTGTCCCCCAAGGTAGCATTCTAGGGTCATCTTTTTCTCTTCTGTTTCACAGAGCTACCTAATGCCACCTGGCATCTGAAACCTGTACACTTTGGTGATAACACAACCTTTGTAACACCAGATCAGATTTTGTGCCAAACACAAGCAAATAATGTTATTAAAAATGTCTGAACATGGATGACTACCAATGAATTCTATATCAGTGTTGAAATAAACATTCTGTATATATATATATATATATATATATATATATATATATATATATATATATATATATATATATATATATATATATAATATTATATATATATATATATATATATATATATTATATATGTGGATGTTGTGCAAATGATAAGAAGAGGATGATTGTGGATATTATGAATGAGAAGAAACTGGATGTCCTGGCTTTAAGTGAAACAAAGCTGAAGGGGGTGGGAGAGTTTCAATGGAGAGGAATAAAATGGGATTAGGTCAGGGGTTTCAAATAGAGTTAGAGCTAAAGAAGGAGTAGCAATAATGTTGAAGGATAAGCTATGGCAGGAAAAGAGGGACTACAAATGTATAAATTCAAGGATTATGTGGAGTAAAATAAAGATTGGATGTGAAAAGTGGGTTATAGTAAGCGTGTATGCACCTGGAGAAGAGAGAAGTGTAGAGGAGAGAGATTGATTCTGGGAAATGTTGAGTGAATGCGTGGGGAGTTTTGAATCAAGTGTGAGAGTAATGGTGGTTGGGGATTTCAATGCTAAAGTGGGTAAAAATGTTATGGAGGGAGTAGTAGGTAAATTTGGGGTGCCAGGGGTAAATGTAAATGGGGAGCCTTTAATTGAGCTATGTATAGAAAGAAATTTGGTAATAAGTAATACATATTTTATGAAAAAGATGATAAATAAATATACAAGGTAAGATGTAGCATGTAATGAAAGTAGTTTGTTAGATTATGTATTGGTGGATAAAAGGTTGATGGGTAGGCTCCAGGATGTACATGTTTATAGAGGGGCAACTGATATATCGGATCATTATTTAGTTGTAGCTACAGTTAGAGTAAGAGGTAGATGGGAAAAGAGGAAGGTAGCAACAACAAGTAAGTGGGAGGTGAAAGTGTATAAACTAAGGGAGGAGGAAGTTCGGGCGAGATATAAGCGACTATTGGCAGAAAGGTGGGCTAGTGCAAAGATGAGTAGTGGGGGGGTTGAAGAGGGTTGGAATAGTTTTAAAAATGCAGTATTAGAATGTGGGGCAGAAGTTTGTGGTTATAGGAGGGTGGGGGCAGGAGGAAAGAGGAGTGATTGGTGGAATGTTGAAGTAAAGGGTGTGATAAAAGAGAAAAAGGTAGCTTACAAGAGGTTTTAAAAAGAGCAGAGTATATGGAGAGTAAAAGAAAGGTGAAGAGAGTGGTGAGAGAGCACAAAAGGAGAGCAGATGAAAGAGTGGGAGAGGCACTGTCAAGAAATTTTAATGAAAATAAGAAAAAATTTTGGAGTGAGTAAACAAGTTAAGAAAGCCTAGGGAAAGTATGGATTTGGTCAGTTAAAAACAGAGTAGGGGAGTTAGTAGATGGGGAGAGGGAGGCATTAGGTAGATGGCGAGAATATTTTGAGGAACTTTTAAATGTTGAGGAAGAAAGGGAGGCGGTAATTTTCATGCACTGGCCAGGGAGGTATACCATCTTTTAGGAGTGAAGAAGAGCAGAATGTAAGTGTGGTGGAGGTACGTGAGGCATTACGTAGAATGAAAGGGGGTAAAGCAGCTGGAACTGATGGGATCATGACAAAATGTTAAAAGCAGGGGGGATATAGTGTTGGAGTGGTTGGTACTTTTGTTTAATAAATGTATGAAAGAGGGGAAGGTACCTAGGGATTGGCAGAGAGCATGTATAGTCCCTTTATATAAAGGGAAAGGGGACAAAAGAGATTGTAAAAATTATAGAGGAATAAGTTTATTGAGTATACCAGGAAAAGTATACGGTAGAGTTATAATTGAAAGAATTAGAGGTAAGACAGAATGTTGAATTGCGGATGAGCAAGGAGGCTTCAGAGTGGGTAGGGGATGTGTAGATCAAGTGTTTACATTGAAGCATATATGTGAACAGTATTTAGATAAAGGTAGGGAAGTTTTTATTGCATTTATGGATTTAGAAAATGCATATGATAGAGTGGATAGAGGAACAATGTGGCAGATGTTGCAAGTATATGGAATAGGTGGTAAGTTACTAAATGCTGTAAAGAGCTTTTATGAGGATAGTGAGGCTCAGGTTAGGGTGTGTAGAAGAGAGGGAGAATACTTCCCGGTAAAACTAGGTCTTAGACAGGGATGTGTAATGTCACCATGGTTGTTTAATATATTTATAGATGGGGCTGTAAAAGAAGTAAATGCTAGGGTGTTCGGGAGAGGGGTGGGATTAAATTATGGGGAATCAAATTCAAAATGGGAATTGACACAGTTACTTTTTGCTGATGATACTGTGCTTATGGGAGATTCAAAGAAAAATTGCAAAGGTTAGTGGATGAGTTTGAGAATGTGTGTAAAGGTAGAAAGTTGAAAGTGAACATAGAAAAGAGTAAGGTGATGAGGGTATCAAATGATTTAGATAAAGAAAAATTGGATATCAAATTGGGGAGGAGGAGTATGGAAGAAGTGAATGTTTTCAGATACTTGGGAGTTGACGTGTCGGCGGATGGATTTATGAAGGATGAGGTTAATCATAGAATTGATGAGGGAAAAAAAGGTGAGTGGTGCGTTGAGGTATATATGGAGTCAAAAAACGTTATCTATGGAGGCAAAGAAGGGAAATGTATGAAATTATAGTAGTACCACCAACACTCTTATATGGGTGTGAAGCTTGGGTGGTAAATGCAGCAGCGAGGAGACGGTTGGAGGCAGTGGAGATGTCCTGTCTAAGGGCAATGTGTGGTGTAAATATTATGCAGAAAAATTCATAGTGTGGAAATTAGGAGAAGGTGTGGAGTTAATAAAAGCATTAGTCAGAGGGCAGAAGAGGGGTTGTTGAGGTGGTTTGGTCATTTAGAGAGAATGGATCAAAGTAGAATGACATGGAAAGCATATAAATCTATAGGGGAAGGAAAGAGGGGTAGGGGTCGTCCTCGAAAGGGTTGGAAAGAGGGGGTAAAGGAGGTTTTGTGGGCGAGGGGCTTGGACTTCCAGCAAGCGTGCATGAGCATGTTAGATAGGAGTGAATGGAGACGAATGATACTTGGGACCTGACGATCTGTTGGAGTGTGAGCAGGGTAATATTTAGTGAAGGGATTCAGGGAAACCGGTTATTTTCATATAGTCGGACTTGAGTCCTGGAAATGGGAAGTACAATGCCTGCACTTTAAAGGAGGGGTTTGGGATATTGGCAGTTTGGAGGGATATGTTGTGTATCTTCATACGTATATGCTTCTAAACTGTTGTATTCTGAGCACCTCTGCAAAAGCAGTGATAATGTGTGAGTGTGGTGAAAATGTTGAATGATGATGAAAGTATTTTCTTTTTGGGATTTTCTTTCGTTTTTGGGTCACCCTGCCTCGGTGGGAGACGGCCCGACTTGTTGAAAAAAAAAAAAATATATATATATATACATATATATATATATATAATATATATATATATATATATATATATATATATATATATATATATATATATATATACACCTACCATCCGACTTACGACCTGCTTGACTTACGACCACTCAACTTACGACCATGTTTTTTATGCCAAATTTCTGGGAAATAAACAGCTATTTGTGTTGTGCACAGCGTTTATCCTAAACCGTACAGTATAAAATACAGTACTAACAACATAAAAAGTAAAGTAAAACATGAAATACCAAATAAAACAATAAAATAAAGTCATTACAAAAATGTTTTGTTGATATTCAGTAGTAAAGTTCGACTTACGACCATTTCGACTTACGACCGGTTTCTTGGAACCGAACTCGGTCGTAAGTCGGATGGTAGGTAGGTAGGTAGGTGTATATATATATATATATTATATATATATATATATATATATTATATATATATATATATATATATATATAATATATATATATATATATATATATATACATATATATATATATATATATTTTTTTTTTTCAACAAGTTGGCCGTTTCCCACCGAGGCAGGGTGACCCCAAAAAAAGAAAGAAAATCCCAAAAAGAAAATGCTTTCATCATCATTCAACACTTTCACCACACTCACACATTATCACTGTTTTTGCAGAGGTGCTCAGAATACAACAGTTTAGAAGCATACACATATAAAGATACACAACATATCCCTCCAAACTGCCAATATCCCAAACCCCTCCTTTAACCCTTTGAGGGTCGACAGGCCCTCTCCGAAACTCGTTCTCAGGGTCGGCCAAATTTAAAAAAAAAAATTATTTTCTCTTATGAAAAGATAGAGAATCTTTTCCCG